TGCAAATTTCGAAATTTATTTGTTTTTACGCGATAGATACACAATGATAATTAAAAAATTACGTTACAATACATATCCATGTAAAAACTAAAACGCCTAAGAAAGTTGGATATACATATTATTTATCGGAAACGTATGTATGCATAGCATGCAACAGATTATTTGATTCTGTTTTTAACGTGCCTGTACAGCAGATCGATCTATGCAGCTGACATCTATGAACTACTCGGTTAACTACAGTTGCGGTCGGTAATACGTGTCCTATGGTAAAAAGTTGTAAGAACTGCCAAGATTCACCCTGTATACCTGTGTTCTCTTTTGGGGGTGGTGGGGAGGGGGGAAAATCAGCCAATCGGGGCGTTGTAGACTGACCTATTAAAAAACCGGGAGGGCGGTGTGCCATATCGGGTTAACCTGGTAACCTTTGTCGCGGCTCAGGTTATCAGGAGGTTTCAATATTTCAAGGCCTTCGCGGTGTTTTCGTGCGAAATAGCTGTGGGATGGGGCCAGCATGGTGGCTTTGTCGAATTGGACGGCGTGTCCGGTCTTAATCTTGTGTTCGGCTAGGGCTGATTGTGAGAAGTGGCCGTATTTGGTACATCGCTGGTGTTCTTTGATCCGTGTAGTGATCTTCCTCCCGGTTTCTCCTAAGTACACTTTTCCGCAGGCGCATGGGATTTTGTAAACCCCTGGGACTGCCAAATGTGGTCTCCGATCCTTGGGATTGGGGAGCATTTGAGAGAGTTTGTTGTGTAGTTTAAATATCACTCTTATGTTATGCTTGCTCAAAACTCTGCTGATGCCGTCCGACGTTCACCAACGTCCCAATACAAGACACCCTGGACATCATCAAGACATCCAGACAGATTCCATCCAACCTGTTCCCAATAATAGAACACTGCCTCACTTCCACTTATTTCCAGTTCCAAGGAGAATTCTTCGAACAAACCACGGGAGCAGCAATGGGATCCCCCATATCACCCATCATTGCGAACATCTTCATGGAACACTTTGAGAACGAAATCCTGAAGAAGGCTCTACTAAAACCCTCCACGTGGTTCCGATACGTGGACGACACCTTCGTCATCTGGAACCACGGAAGTGAAACCCTACCTCAAATTCTCACGTTTATCAACTCCCAGCACCCGAACATCCAATTCACAATGGAGATTGAACAGAACTCCCAAGTTCCCTTCCTGGATGTATTGGTCCGCAGAAACGAGGATGGCACCGTAGGCCACAACGTCTACCGTAAACCAACACATCCGGACGATACCTCCATGCAAACTCCCACCATCATCCGGCCCAAAAGAATTCGGTGATTAACTCTTTAGTCCAAAGAGCACTCTCCATCTCGGAATCAGCTGCCCAGGACGGAGAACTAAACCACCTCCACCGCGCCCTGACAAGGAATGGATACAGTAGCAGAAACATCAACCGTACAATCCAGAAGCTGACAAACAAGGAACGCAGCCTTCACAACACCAGGACGCCAGAGGCAGAGAAAGAGAAGAAGGCGGTGGTACTCCTCTGAGGCACGACGGACCGCATCAGCAGAGTTTTGAGCAAGCATAACATAAGAGTGATATTCAAACCACACAACAAACTCTCTCACATGCTCCCCAATCCCAAGGATCGGAGACCACATTTGGCAGCCCCAGGGGTTTACAAAATCCCATGCGCCTGCGGAAAAGTTTACATAGGAGAAACCGGGAGGAAAATCAGTATACAGATCAAAGAACACCAGCGATGTACCAAATACGGCCACTTCTCACAATCAGCCCTAGCCGAACACAAGATTGACACCGGACACGCCGTCCAATTCGACAAAGCCACCATGCTGGCCCCGTCCCACAGCTATTTCGCACGAAAACGCCGCGAAGGCCTTGAAATCTTGAAACCCCCTTATAACCTGAACCGCGACAAAGGTTACCGGGTTAACCCGATATGGCACACCGCCCCCCCGGTTTTTTAATAGGGCAGCATACAACGTCCCGATTGGCTGACTTTCCCCCTCTCCCTCCCTCCGGCCCTTCCCCCTCCCTGCCACCCCCCAAAAGAGAACACAGGTATATCACGGGACACGGTAGTGTCTCGCGCCAAGTAAAAGCGACAAGCTATAAAAGCGACAAGCTGGAACCGTGCTCGCGAGACCGACCGTGTAGTTTACGCGGGGAGTGGCTCACTTGGACACAGTACGAGTGGACACTGTGCAAATAGACACGGAATATTGCACACGGTTCATGTGGACACATAAATTTTGCACACAGAAAAGTTTCACACCGTAATGTTGAACACGGCGCAAATGGACACCGTTCTTTTAAAAAATTGTACATCGTAAAGTTGGACACGGCAGAAGTGGACACCGCTCAG